AAAAGCTCCAGGCCTCAAGCTTTGTCGCCAAACGAGCCCATTGTTTCTTTTGTAAATGTATTGCCTTAGTTGGATCGGTTTCAAAAGTAAAAGGTTTTAATTGCTAAAAAGCAAACGACGTCATTTCGGAACCCGAAATCACAAAACAGCTCCGGACCGTCTTCGAAAATTTCAGAAGCGCTCTCTCGTAACCTGTATCTGCGGAGAGTGAAATTGAAACCCTAACTAAAATCTCAAATTCCCAATCACAGTAGGCAAATTCTTTGTTTCTGATTCTTCCTCTGATTTAGAGTTAGGGTTTTGATTTCGCTCCTCTCCCTATCCTCCTAAAGTCCTAAATTTCGGGTAAACTTCTCCGAGGGTTAGGGTTTTTGTCTGTGGATAAATATGTATGCAGATCGGGTTGAGGCTGGATCAAAACTATCAATAAGGGAGCGTCTCAATGTCAAATCCTCAGCTGACCCTCTTAGCAGGCGTCAAGTTTCTGGCAGGAGGTCGTGTTTCTCCCTTTTTATATATGATTTCTTTTCTGTTGTATTTGCTGGTTTTTATAGTTAACCTGGGAACCCTTTTCTAAGATAGATAGGAGCCTGCTGTTCTCACCAAGTTTAGGTTTATCCAAGTCCCATGGATGAATAGTGAGCTTGCTTGAAAATGAATGTTGGTTTTGTGGAGGAATGTGAGGGGTATTCAAGCAGAGACATTGGACAATTTTGGAGTTTCGTCCTATTAGGCTGTGTTGGTCGAATCTTGGCTGAAAATTGAACTGTTGGCATCAGATGGTGAAAAAGTGGGATAGCATCTTGGTGCATCCCTGCAAAGATTTGTATTGTTGTGTTATGATAATTTCAAGATCTTAAAAAACCATGGTTGCAGATCTTGCTTTTGGTCAGAGGAATTGAGGCGGAGACGATTTTAATCTCTCTAGAGGCTCAATAAAACTATCTAGAATTGTCTTATATTTAGTTGGTTTACAAACATGAGCATTTGATTGGTTGGTAAGGGTGCAATTTTGCTTGATGGGTAGCTGTTTGGTATCTATCTGCTTCTTAATTGTTCTGTTGATTACCTGAAAATCAATTTATTCTGGTTTCTTTATGTTTTACACAGATGCTTCTAATTTAACAGTGTCCATGACCGTGATTAATTTAAAATCATATCATTTGCAGACAGAGGCAAGATGACAAGTGGGAACACGATCTTTATGATGATGATGAACCTCAAGTTTCAAGTATGGATTTACTGTAACAGACAATCTCATGCAACTAATTATTGTTGCCATATTGGATGTAATCAAATCGTCACTGTTTGGTTTTTTGACTGTGTTTTAATGTGCTGTGAAGGACGCAATGTGGATCCTCGAGATCTTCGTTTGAAGCTTCAAAGGAAAAGTTTTAAGCAAGTATCTCAAAGTGGAAAGAGAGGTGTGCGTGATCTACGTGAAATGCTATCTGGGACAATGAATTCACAGCCAGTAAATGTTGATCCACCAAAGCCTAAACTGGAAGCTGCTAAACCAGCCAGGAAAAGTGTTGTGGTGGAAGCATCTGAACAAGAACCTAAAAGAACTGCCACTGCAGCAGTGAGAAAAAGCGCTCAGGAAAAGGTATGTATCTTCTAATTATCTCATCTGTTCAAAAATATTTTCTGATTATTTCAAATTTTCTCTTACCTTGCTGTTCAGAGATGTTAAGAAGACTTCTATGTTATGTTGGCAGTGAACTGAAAATTCCATTAAGAATAGATCAAGCATGGAGTTTTCTTAACATAAAATGAATGGGTTGTATGAAACTTTGTTTGCTTTGTTTCATAATATACAAGTAACCTGAATATTATTATACTTTACCATGCATAAAGAATTGTACTTATGTTTAATGCCTTTTGCCTTAACAAATTGAAATACTGCTCTAAATTTTTTGGGAACTGAACACTGCTCTATTTTATCTTCTTAACCACTTTCTTTTTGGCCCTTTATAATTTTGAGGAATTGTGGATGAGGGATGGAGGCTTTTTCGAAAACTTATATGTACATGGTACAAATTGTTTTGGCTAGTTGGGTTGTACTGTGTTTCAGAGGCAGGCTTGCTACATACCATTTTCCACCACCAAGTATGAAAAGCAAGGTGTTAGTTGCTGTTGCAGTGAAATAGGAAATATTTCAGACTGTTGTGGACCTTTGAAATCAACTTGTCCAGCTGGTTCCCTCTAATTGTCTGATATGCCTTTTCCAATATGCATAGCTTTTGTTGTCCTTTAGTTTCTAAATCTGAGCAATTTGCAGGCTGAAACATCAGTGGAGGGCTTCCTTCAGTCATTGGGTCTTGATAAATATGTGATTACTTTTAAAGCAGAGGAAGTATGTAAAAATTTGCTTTCTTCTATGCATTGAGATTTTGTTTTTGTGCTTGCTTCAATTTAAGACAAACCTCTCTCTGCAGGTTGATATGTCAGCTCTTGTACACATGACTGATGAGGATCTCAAAGCTTTAGGAATGCCAATGGTAACAGCTAACTGAACCTTTAGCCACAAGCATGGATGGTCTAGGTTGAATTTTTTGCTAGCTATATTCTATATTTGGGGAATTGAGGTTTTAACGAAGTATTGTACCATTGTCGACATGGTTATGTTAGTTATGTGGTACAAGTCCTATCATCTTGGTTCAAGAAATGAATTTCTAAGCAGGAAAAGTCAGTATTGTTGCAGAAGTGATTGCACTTATACGAAATCACCTCGTTCCTTTCTTTCCCCTCTAATTTTTGTTGTACCAAAACTTATCTGTTTTTTAAAGAATAAAATTGAAAAAATTGCCAAAGTATCTTTTGCTTATAACTACACCATGGTCTCCATGTGCATTTTTATTTTGCATGTCACTTTTTTGTGTTTTAGGTTTATGAGGTAAATGCATTAATTTATCTTAAGTAAAATTTCTGTCTCACTCTAGTCTAATTTTGCAAAAGCACAACAAATTTCCTCTTTTTGCTTGTGAATTGTGATGGTTTTCCAGGGGACTGATTGTTTTCCTGATTTGTGTGAAAATAAAATGCTTGTTTGTTCCCCTGCCTCAGAGATTCAGAACCTTGAATGCTGAGAACACACTATATTCTGTAAGGGCAGTGCTAGGGGCACTCGCCTCCTGCACTCTCCAGCCAACACTCCATTTTTATTGGGTCACATTATTTTGATTTGAGAGGTTGCGTTTCAAAACCCCAAAGCAAGCTTACATGGCCCAATGAAAGTGGAAGTGTTGGCCGGAGAGTGCAGGAGGTGAGTGCTCCTAGCACTGCTCACTCTGTAATGTCGGAATCACATCAAATTCTGTAACCATTTTTTCTATCGTGGTCCTTAGTTATCAGTCATCACTGAGTCACTACTATTTACTGATCCCCTGATTGATGATTTCTATGATGTTTGGTATGTGCAACCAGTATTCCCAGGTTTTTTTGCTATTAAATGTTACCATCTACAATCACAAAGGTTTTGATAAATTTTTTGCTCATTTTCAGGGCCCAAGAAAAAAGATACGCCTTGCATTGGAATCAAGAGGCTGACATATGGAGTCTTAGCAGGTGTTTTTGAGACTTGGATCCTCACAGAGTAGCAGGGGCATGTCTTCGGTGGATAAGCTTGCATGTAACATTTTATTCTTTAACTATTTGGCTTCATGGGCTAAGATTTATCTTGATGTGAAACTGTTTATTTTGTTTTGGATGGGAGAAAAAATCTTCAATGAAGTTGCTGCCTTTTCCATCGGAACCCTTCTTATTCTTTTTCCCCCTTTGGATTCACATTAGTGGTTCATCTTCATAAAATGATTCATTATGAGATACCCTTGAAATAGGAAAACTCAATATACATTACACTATGGCCAATATACACAGACACACATTGCACTTTAGTTCACTTAGCATATCACCTCTTTAAGTTCTGTAACATTCCACTTCACAGAATGCTTCCTCCATTCAGTCTTCCATTTGGCGATTAATAAAGTCAAAATGTTTCACTCAATCAGTTAAAATGTTGGCACCCATCAACTGTGAGAAATATTAGTGGTATTTAAGAATCAACATTGGGCTGCAGCTCAAGATAGTAGCATGCATTCCAAGTTCTTGTGTTTGCACTGCTAATTCCCTGTTTCCTCTTGTGATCTCTCTCTTTATGACTTCCTATGATCTATATGATCCAGTGAAAAGACTATGCTACCATTATGTTCAGCCTCCACGCGAGGTACTATGCCTTTTCCTGCCTGTATTTTTTCAGTTCTCTTTGAGCTGCAAGCAGTACGTGCATCGAAACTGGAAGAAACAATGGCAGTGCAAGGAGAAGAGTATATTATGTTAGAATAATCCTCAACTTTAATCAATATAACTAAACCAGCTTCATGAACAATCTATTTTTAGGGACGGCATGGAAGATGATGTAATTCAGGGCAAAAAAATGATTTGTATATTATGAGTGCATAAGAGAATCAGTTCAAATTAGAGGAACAATAGTTCGATACATCTAAGGGTGTGAAAGGAAGAAGGAGTCCAATATGAAGCTCTGCTAGTGTGTGCGGCGCATAAAGCATTAATTCTCCAATCTTTTACGGTAAGGAGAGATGGGTTCTGTGTAACTTATACCGAATAGGCAGCAAAGCAATGCTCAAACAACAAGTATTATCTGACCTACATTATGGGTGGGTGATAAAGGGCATCTTCAGCCATAGATCTCGCTTGACTTGATGAAGCTGAAAAAAGGAATAATATACCATTTGTCAGGTCTTTCCTCATTTGTTAGGTCTTGCTTGGTCTCACAAGACAGATGAGCAGAAAACATTCAACTTAAGAAGCAAATGACAACGTACAAGTAAGAAGCATAGGAAAACATACCAGCTGAAGATTCATACAGTCCCAGAGAAACATTACTTTGGGCCGACTTTGCTGCCTCAAGAAGTAGCTTTACCTGATCAAAATGACCATAAAATCAAATAGTGCCTACTAATTTCATAACCATGTCCAATAACAGAAGCATAGAAATCACTGTTTTTTGGGAAGAACAAGATAAGGCTAGTGGCAATCCATTCACACTCTAAATCCATCACCAGATGCCACCGTGACCTTCACATCACCTGATCCAAGCTCACAGTTGGTAAAGCTAGTAGTTTTAAGCTCAGTAAGGAATTTTGCCAGCATGTGCACAATACAGCCTCCTGTTATGCTGAACATGCCTCAAAAAACAGACAAGAAGCAAGAGAAAGTCTCACATGGTAATGAACTCAACTACTTCACAAGCTAAAATCACAACATAACAACACTGCAACTATAAACATAATTCTTGTAAACAAGAAATGGTAAAAAGACCAGATACGAAATCAACAATCAATAGATTTAATTGATCACAACAAAAACAAAAACAAGTTCCCTCATCATTACAATGTAACTCTAATCCAAAGAAAAAAAA